CGTGCAACAAAAGCCAACGAACAAAGCCCAATCTTTGAGGGATAAGAGCGACCTTGCGTGGTACGAACCCGGCTTGTTTCAACAGCCTTTAATAATACACCAATAACTGAAAGTTCACCAACATGTTTCATCTCTAAATTACTTAATCCACGAGTTTGGCCATGAGTCTCCTTTGATTAGGTTATAGGTAGAGCAGGTACAATCGAGCTTAAACTGAAACGCTGCCTGAAAGCGTAGACTTGGAAACGCAGTTTTCATTTAATAGGTCATAGCATGCGTAGGGCTACTCTGGGACCTTAAGTCGCTTAAAGTCGCCTTAAGTCGCTTTAAGTCGGCCTAAGTCGCCGAAAGTCGCCTTAAGTTGCTGTTAAAAAGGTTTCAACACACTCAAATTGACCCTGTAGAAGATTATTAGACTTATAACTGTCATGCTAGGGTAAACTCCACTCTAACCTTATGGAGGAGGAGGCACGATGACCCAATGGTTGGTGCGGACCCCTATTGGGGATCATTGCATTGTGTTCGTACTCTCATAGTGCCTCTGCTCACCCAGATGTATAAATGGGTACTGGTTACGGAACAGGGGGCGCAGGGTGCAGGGTGCAGCAGAGGTAACCTCAATAGGTGTGCTTTTAATTTTTTTTTTAACACTTGTTCTCAATGCATCGGAGCCATCTAAACCTCCCCTTAAGGGCCCTAGTCAGCCACATCTTTGTTTTTGTTTACATACAAGAGGTTGACTTTTATGTTTTATTTGGAGCATGTCAAAGCAAAGAAAATAACTGTGAAGCTACTAAAGATACAGGGACATACTTTCAAGAACACAACTTTCAGGAACACAACTTACAGTAAAGCACGCTATAGCTAGCGCTCCGCTTCAGCTAGCGCTCCGCGTTCTCTCTTGTGTATTTACTGTTAGGCTAGGTTAGACATTTCCTTTTTTCTCCGTTGACTAAAGGGAGACAAAGTTAAGTGCTAAGAAAAGAAAACGATGATTTAAAGAGTCAACTGAATGATCTAAAGAAGGAATTTCAGTTTCTCAAATCCAAGATGGCGGAACCGAAGGATTACCACGAAGCGGCAGCCACCGCTTTACCGAGCACACAGGATGTCCAATTCCTCAGCGACAGC